TAATTATTTGAAAATGTTTGAAAACCTCGTTCTCTGTCTGGTTCCAAGGCCTGGTGTCACAGATGTTTTCGCAGAGACCATTTCAGCGTAAATAATTAATTATAATAATAAACTGCCGCCCAATACAGACGTTTAGTTTTGGCGAGCAAATAATAAAGATATTTTTTTTATGATAAATCGTGTGAGATGACGAAAGCTATTTGAAGTGAAACATTTCAAAAATATATTATAATAACTTTTTGCTTAATTTTATTTTATACTTTTCCGCAAAAATATTTCGACATTAGGTACTGTTCCCCATCGTATTTCCAAAAACGAAAGATAAGTCTGAACAAATCGCGATTAGAAATATATCTATTAACTTATGGGAAATATTATCAGAATTGTGTCGTTTACTTTTTAATCTTTATATTTATTTATTTTAACAAAATTATGTTAGATTCCGTGATCTTCCTTTAATCTTCTTTTAATTTAAGGCATCATGTGTCACACTTTGGTAGACACTATAAAAAGGATGTTTTTCATGTATGTGTTGTTTGTTTTCACTTTCAAAAATTTCATGAATGCAATTCTTTATATCTTAAAAAAATCCTAAAACTAATTTTCCCTATACTTTAAATTCACGGTACTTGTTTTGATAGGATAAGGGTGGCAAGCGAGCACATAGTCCGGCTAATGGTAAGTGGTTGCTGCGGCCAATAGGCATCTACATCTATCCTCGTTTGTGAATAAAATGCAGATGCGTTGTCACCCGTGAGGACTAATATGGAATGCCTCTTTTCCAGTAAAAAGGGTTTCCGGTTCTCTACACTCCCCACACGAAACAGTAGCATGAAGCTGTTATTTTACACTGGTAATCTGTGAGAGCGTGGTCCTTACTCGGTCGAGCTGACCCATTCGTGCTACAACTATACAATTAATATAGCTGCAGCATGGCTCTAACAAGTTTAAAAATAAAAGTTTTTTTTTTAAATTTTACAATAAAAGAAATTAAAAACTGATAACTAACCTTATTCAAAGTAAAAAATAAATAAAGAAGCAGCCTGTTAACAGTGTACGTCAGTATACGTCCAGCTGAGCACAGGAGTGGCCTCCTGTTGTTACTTTTATGGCAGGGAAGAGTTCGATAACACGCTTTTACCATATATTCAGCTTTACATCTCAATATGCAGGTTTCATTACGATATTTACCACCACCGCTGAACATATCGTAAATCAACATTTAATGTTGCAATTAACAATTTCATAGACTGGTGAAAATCTAACTCGGTTTGCTATCGTACCATAAAATTTTAAGGCGAACGTTTTTACCCATGAGACCTCTCTAGACTTTAGATAACGGACATATTAAACTAAGCAGCTTCACCAATTTTATGTACATAGTATCCAAGTTGTGTTGTCTTTATACAACACTAAATTTGTATTAAAAAAAAATAAGACTTTATGCGCCCTTGATTTTTTTAACAATATCACTTATTAATATGTAAAGTCAGTAATTAAGAAGTTATTTGCTTTGGTGTTATTTAAAACATTCGACTAATGCGGTCATTGTACATAATTATAACTTTTAACAAAAAGTAAAAACCGACCTAAAATTGCCAAAAAAGAAGTTATATATTTGTTTGCTGCCCTTAGACCCTTGAAGTATAATAACCTACTTAATCATTAAAATTACTTCCCAATCTTCGAAGATCTCGCGTAACATACATACAAAAAAAACGTACACTCGAGTTGAGAACCTCCTCCTTTTTGAGGTTGGTTAAAATACTGCTAACTGTTACTATATTATTGTCATTGCTGTAGAATACCGCGTATTATCAGTGAAATTCACTCGAAATTAGAAATGGATTTTTTGAACAAATTATAATTTTTATTTTATTTTCTGATACACCTTTAAATACCATTTCAGTTCACAAATATGTCCCTTAATTTGATTGGTACAAACATTAGTGATGGTTTGCAAATTATTCAATCAAACAATGCGATTACGGCAAAATATCCCAGTAATGGTCACCGCTTTTGTAGTCAGATGTTTTTTGACAAGGGTATAATTATGCTGCACGAAAAAGTATTTAGTAGCATTCTAATTATTATAATTATATCAGTTATTTCTTAGTAGTTTCTTTGATTAGTATTTGGCACTTATTCGGTAAGGACATTTTTGTCACTGATTGTGTACCTATCTAGTTTTTTATTAGTGATCGATGCCTTTAAACCAGAACATAGAAATATAAGCACTGCTATTTGGTGGCAGAAATAGGTGAGACATTAGAAACAAGTACTCACCCAGACGTACTCCTAGCCAAAAATGTGCCAAAAATGTGCCAAATACCTAGTATAGTAGTTTCGACGCCTGGCGTCATGGCAACTGTAGATTTTTATGAACTGAAGATGCGTTTTTATAGAATAAGGACGACAACTGAGCACACAGCCCACTTGATGGTAAGTGCGTGCTGTGACCCATCGACATTTACATCTATCATCGATTAAGAATCAAAATGCAGATGCGTTGTCACCCCTGAGAACTAAGATGGAATGCCTCGTACCCAGTAAAAAGGGTCTCCGGTTCTCCTCAATTACTACACGAAACACTGCAGTATTAACTAATTTTACGCTTGTATTCTGTGAGAGCGTGGTCCTTCCCCGGTCGAGCCGACCCATTCGTGCTACAACCATAATATAGCTGCAACATGGCTCTATCATACATAACATGGTTCAATCACGTATAATACTATTTCCCTTCTCCTGTTTCAATTTCCCTTGATGCTTTTTACGACTCCCATATGATGATATGCGGTTGTGGATTGTCTTACCCTGGTACTACATGGGTTATTATTTATAGTTACAAGGCTAGTTTAAAAATTAAGTAAAACCGATTTTAATAATTTAAAAATAAATTTCGAATATTTTTTTAAAACTTTGTGCTTATAATCGTACTACTGTACCTCATCCGTTCATTTAAGGAATCCTTATTTCTTCCGATATGTTAAAAATAAACATGGCTGTAAAAGGCACGGTTCAAATAAAATAAATAGAGGAAAAATATTGAAGCAAAACCAAGCATTGGATATAAAAATAAAATCGAGTGCATTTCGTCTTAAGGCTAGGTTACCCTAAAGTCACACCACAGCCTAAGAAGAGTTATACTGTAGTCACACTATAAAAACAATTCCCACCTTTTGGACTTAAAAAAACAGCATGTTTTGCATTTTGATCGATATAAAAATAGTCCTAAGTTTTCTTTTATTTTTGATAATTTTTTCAGTTTTATTCAAATAGGATAAATTTTTATTATGAAGTTTTTATTTTCTACATTTTTTTATTCTACAATCTACATCCAAAGATGTGTATACTGCTAATAGTGGCAGAATAACAGAGCCTTAAGGCTGCAAGTAGCTGTTTTCGATAGACAGGTTAAAGCCATATAATCTAATCAGTGGGGGATACAAGAAACGATGTTAGAGCAACGTTTCTGCCTGTAAAATATTTTATAATGTCTAAAGCTGGTGTCTGAACAACTCTTAGCAGTTGTATTTTTGTATAGGTTTTGCTACGTCGAATATTTTCCTTGTCATTTATAATTGACATGAAGTATAATATTATTTTCAAAATTAAAAACAATATATATTTTCGAAAATACAAACTAAATTTATTTATTAATTTATAATACAATTCTACTACTGCGGTTTAGTATAACTTTTGGCGGGAAAAGAACCAGCTCTCTTGTCTCCCGTGGTAACTACCAGCCTATTTCTTAAGAAACTTCACCGATGAAGTAAAGTTTTTTTGGTGAATATATTGTTACATGAAAATTAGGAGTTTTATGTAATATTTTCATTATTTGTGAAATTTTAATGATTGATGTGCTCTAGGTCAACTTCGACCACGGAAACAAATCTATATAAATAAATAAAATTGAAGTGTCTGTTTGTAATATCAAAATAACAGCTTTTTACTAAATACATATGAAAGTGTTTAAGGTACTCGTACTTATAACAAAAAACATAATTTTTAAAATTTTCGTCTCTCTGTCTGTTTCTTTCGGCTAATCCCCGAAATGGCTGGACCGACTTTGATGAGACTTTCATTGTTATAAGTAGTAACTCAGGATACTTTTATTTTAGATAAAGAATTAGGGATCCGCGCAAAAAAATTAAAATCTTAAATTGAACGCGGGTGAAGTCGCGGGGAACAGATAGTTTTAAATAATGTACATAATGTTAGTACTTCTAAATTGTTTCTTAGTTGGTAGGTGTAAGAGTTCATGTGGGTGGGTACCGTCCGCTCCCGTCTGAAGTGTATGAACAGTTTCAATAATTGCAGGCTGCAGGACATTATCGTTTAGTTCTCAAGCACCAGCAGCAACATATATGGCCTTCTTTATTTAAAGTTGGTGCCAGACGATCTTGAGCTAAAGTTATCCACTTACTATCAGACTATTTGCTTGTTTGTCACCTTGATATTACTGATCGATCGAAATCGTAAGCAAATTATGATGCAGTGCAAGAAGCACAGCATAACCATATCATTCCTCCATCCATGCATTATTATTGTTTTGGACATGTGTTGAACCTAAACGATTCGAACTGGGAACTCGTGACTTGATGGTCAGTCAAATAAGTTTTAAAAATCCTTAAAGAATCACTTTACAATAATGAAGATGCCTATGAAAAAAAAATTGTGACGTATCTGGAGTGCCCCTGCCAAGTTGAGCAAAAAAGTGGCACGGCCGTACCATCCTTTTCTCGAAGCAGTTCAGACCATTTTCAACCCCCTTACATTTATCTTAATACTTCATTTAAAAATTTCTTCTTTGAAGTTCGTGTTCGAAAATAATTACTTTCAATATTATTAAGAAACTTATTGTTATAAGGAATGTATAATTACGTATAACTTAGCTTCCTTTTTATATTAATTAGCCGATAATTCGAAGCGTAAAGATGCAAACAACTAAATAGTCCTTAGAAACACTAATTAAATCTATCATTTCAGTTCTAGCTATGTCACGGTTCGCTTGTCTGTTGGCCGTTGCCGGTGCCGCCTCTGCCCAACTTACCCTGGACGGGATAAGATGCGGTCAGCTCACCTGCCAAATCGACGAGTACTGCTCCTCAGAAACGAACCGATGTGCCCCGTGCGCCGTAGTTTGTAACAAGACCCATCACAACTATGACTCTGGTCTTTGCGTCAAGGAATGTCAAGGTAAGTTAATCTACCTTATATAATATCCATTTCATAGTTATAATAAGTCAGTGGTTGACTACTATTCCACCAGATGCCAAGGTGTGATTACGGTAAGATGTAGCGGATTTAGCTTAATGAAAGGTTATTAATTTCAGAAAGTGCCTACGTTGTAGCCGGATGTATTGACACTATGTACGACGATAAACTGTTTAGCCCGAATAACAAAGGATTGTAGGCTCCCCGTGGGTCTGTTGACCATTGCCTGCTCTCTGAGGTCCGGGTGTTTTAATAGTGTGTAATAATATGCATTGAAGTAATTTGAACATAAATAAAAATGGTTTACAATTAAATGATTTTAGATCTGGATATAAAAAAGTTTGAATCCCTAGTTCCCTACTATTGATATAATAAAGTAGTACACACAAAAGTCTTTGACAATAATACTTCCTACATTATTAGCCCGTAAAAATCTACTGCGGAACAACTTCTTCTCCATTTACGTGGTAGAGCCATGCTGCAGCTATATTAGTAGTATAGTTGTAGCACGAATGGGTCGGTTCGACCGGGGAAGGACCACGCTCTCACAGAATACCAGTGTAAAATAGCAGCTTAACGCTGCTGTGTTTCGTATGGCGAGTCTAGAGAACTGGAGACCCTTTTTACTGGAAATGAGGCATTCCATCTTAGTCTTCACGGGTGACAACACATCTGCATTTTGATTTGCAATAGAGGATAGATGTAGATGTCTATGGGCTGCAGCAACCACTTACCATCAGGTGGACTGTGTGCGCGTCTGTCACCCTAGTCTTATAAAAAAAATGAATGAAAATACGCTAAATACTCAAACGCTACTAAATTTTAAGATGTCGTTAAGTATCGTGGTGTTTCAGTTACTTTGACTTAAAGTGATAGAGACAACACGAGACTTAACGGTGCCTTAAAATTGAGTAGCGTTTGATTATTTGGGTATGAATAGCCTATTGTCATCTATTGAATACTATGCTGATGTACGAGTCACACTGGTATCGTATTTTATTATCAATTATATTTGGTGACTGAAATAATTATGTTTGTCTTTCAAAGACGAGTTAACGCGGTAGAGCCATGCGGCAGCTATATTATAGTTGTAGCGCGAATGGGTCGGCTTGACCGAACAAGGACCACGCTCTTACAGAATAAAAGTTAAAAATGAAGTTACAGCGTGTATAAGTCTCTCTGCTAAGAACAGGTCTCTTCTAATTTCTGAGAGGGTTTTAGGGCAAATAAATGTCCACCGCGCTGCCCCACTGGTGGCGGACTTCATATGTTTTCGAATTTTTTATCTTATTTCTCAGACGTGCAGGTTTCTTCACGATGTTTTTCTTCACCGCCGAGCACGTGGTAAATCAGCTCGTAAAATTACAATTAACAATTTCATTGGTGCCGACGGGGATCGAAACCGGGTCACTCTCGTACTTTGAAATTTACAGCGAACACTACAACAGTACAACCTTTTTACTAGAAACGAGGCATTTCATCTTAGTCCTTAGGGGTGACAACGCAACTGTACTTTGATTCTTAATCGAGGATAGATGTAGATGTCTAAGGGTCACAGCATCCACTTACCATCAGGTGGGCTGTGTGCTCACTTGTCACCCGTATTCTATAAAAAAATGAGTAAATAATTGTATATGACTTATAAGGTAGATATAATTATATTTGCAATAAACAATTGGGATTATAGCACAAAGTAAATAAATTGAATAATATGACTTATGGTAAGCAACATAATTTTGCTTCTTACTTACTATAATATTTAAAATTCTACTGTTATTAATATTATATTCTGAGAGTTCAAATATATTTATTTCACAGTACAAATAACATTCCGGATAGATGAGAAACTTTATATCGTAAATACTACTGCGTAGAATACAATAATATTATTATCGTAAATTCGAAGTTTGATGAGAGTCATAGATATTTTAAGAGTAGTTCAACTCTCGTACCTGGGCGGTGAAAACCGCCCAGACACACCGTATGACTCATTCCGACGGCGGTTATAGGTACTACTTATCATGACACTGAATACCTAAGTAAGAATTCGTACCAAACACCTGACGGTTAGACAAGTTCAGTACATCATTTATCATCATCATCATCAGTTAGTAAGTTAAAATAGCCGTCCAATGTACAAAATGTAGTATACTTTGATGTTTATTGATGATAGTAATTAGTGCAAATCTCTTTTAATGGTTTCTTTCTTATAGGATAAGTGTGACAAACGAGCACACAGTCCACCTGACGGCAAGTGGTTGCTGTGGCCCATAGACATTTACATCCATCCTCGATTACGAATCGAAATGATCATGTGTTGTCACCCGTGAGAACTAAGATGGAATACCTCGTTTCCAGTAAAAAGCGTCTCCAATTCTCTACACTCACCATACGAAACCCAGCAGTGTTAAGCTTCTATTTTACGCTGGTATTCTGTGAGAGCGTGGTCCTTTCCCGGTAGAGCCGATCCATTCGTGCTACAACTATACCAGTAATAGACCTGTAGCATGGCTCTAACACGTAAATTTACCTACAAGGGCTACAAGTCATTGTTACAGGTCTGGGTGTTTATAATAAAGTCCTCTAGGGTGCAGGAAAAAAGAAAGAAAGGTTTACTAAAGAAAAAATTAAAACTTAATTTATGTTACTCGTATAAAGTGGCAATTGTTTAAGGAATCATAAAGAGTTACCCAATGAGAACCTCCGCAAGGGTTTACGCCGAGTAGTTTGCTGATGACTAAGAGTTATTTACATGCAATAATAATAAGAGCCTTCAAGTCGCGTGCAGACAAATATTGACTTTATATTACGTTTCATAAGGCGCTTAATCAGGCGCGGTGACAACTTGAACAACCAGTTTCGTGACCGCAGCCCGCCTACCTGTAATACTCAGTCTTCTCTAAATATTATATCTGTCTCGTTTGCACTTTAGTTAAGTTAAGGAATGCGTAGGTTTCAGGTCAAGCAACTCTAGTACAAGAGAGAATACTCTTAGCTTGAACTTTATAATAGAAAATCCTAAAAAATAACTCCACAAGTTTGGATAAATGTATCTCGATTTATATTATCCTTATTTAGCGGAAAATTTAACTTACTACAACAATGTGTTCACAAGCGTATTTGCAGAAAAAACAGATAATAGAGTTAAGTCTGCTTTTGTAATATGTGTATATTAATCACTGCCGGGAGGTGTTTAATAGTGCTTGTAGGCGTCTGGAGAGAGAAATTTTCAAATGATTTTCCAATGAATTTCAATATAATTAAATATGTGAGCGTGTCGATAAGCCATTTCAAGGATATTTATAAGGGCTTTGGGGGTCGGTTTTATTCAACCTACACAAGAATAACTACGGAAAATATATATTTATATCCAGTCGTTTAATAGAGTAATTTTAACAATTGAATAATTCAGCAGTACGTTACAGCACGTCGTGTCGCGGATCTTCGATTTAACCAGATCTGGTTCGTTTCGTATCAAGCCAGTATCCTTTATAGGTTTTATTTAATTTAAATAACGTCATCCTCACACTAGATACTTCTGCTGCATCTTGGTGCATGTTGGTTTTACATGTGCGAAATTGCATATTATACACAACATCTCAATGGGATAAGAACACTACAAGTATTTTATATAACTTAGGTATATATTATAGTATTTCTGAGAAATTACTGAGAAATCTTGAACGCTTAGCATAGTTAATGCTTAATCTTGGTATTGGTCTTAAACTCCTAGAACGAGATTAACATTTCGGTGAAACCTAAGAACGTTTAGTAATTTGAAATGTAGTACGAGAAATTTCAGACATTCTAGCTCAGATCTTACTTCAAAATATAATATATATTATATATTTTTCACAAAATGTAATATATAAAATTAATCATTGTTTGTTCGTAATTTATGCGCTGCAATACCGTTCATCAAATTGCGCTAAATCTTTATCAACTTATTGCTTGCTCTTGCGCGAAGGTTATAGGCATAGTACAACTTATATTAACTTATTTTATATATAGGTGGCGCGTGTATCGTACCGACTTGAAAGTTATATATTATTCAACTTCAATAACTGTATTATCATTCTTAATTAAAAATTATAACATTTAACATTTAAAACGATATTTCTACAATTATTTCTTCAGTTATTTAAGTGTATATATTATATAAAGTACCTGTGCAATTATTGTAGTGTCACAGATTATAAAAAGATATAATAGTATCACAAATGACAATCACACGAGCGGAGTCACACCGTGATGCAAAAAGCAATGGTGATAGAGCGTTTTAAATATTTTATTTGGTTTGGTCTATAACTCTAACTTTAACTAATCCCTGAGAAAATGCCTTTGGTCTAAACTGACTGTGAGAGACATATGAAAAATTAACAGTTGAATTACACCCAAATCCAAACGATGTCATTCTTGTACAAATAAATCGTTGGATTGCACTCGAACCTAGTACACGGGACTCGATCGTCAAATACTGTGACCACTAAGCGATGCGCGTGTCGGGTTATTGTGACGACAGGAGAGCGCGTTTGTATGCGTATTACGTCATACATTTGTGGCCGTGTTATGTAGCCTGCGAAGTACTAATATCATACGCAAGCTGTTCGCCATGGTCCGAACTGACCCTTAAGATATATTATCATTACATTTTTATTCATAATTAATTAATTTATCATTCATTCAATACAGCCCATCAAGTCCACTTTCAATTCTCTATATTCTGTGATGTTAGTGCTGTAGCGTTTTCGCTTTTGCGGCTTCATCTGACTCAAGGATCACGGCCTGCTTGCAGTATCACTGCTGAACATAGTACTTAGAGCTTACTTATCACTTCCACTAGGTGCGACTGTAGCCAACTATTGGCTTATAATAAGTAAAAAATTCATAATTTAAAATTAATAATTTTGTACAACCGACTTCAATATATATTATTAAGAATAACTCAAAAACTATTGGTCAGACTTTGCTCAAAGTTATATGGGATTACATGAGAAGCACCAGCTTCCAAATGAAAAAAGAATAATCGAAATCGGTTCACCCAGAAAAAAGTTATGAGGTTATAACACACATAAGAAAAACATACGGTCGAATTGAATACCGTCTCCTTTTTGAAGTCGGTATAAAAATAGGACTCCCTCAGAAATTGCTTCATAAGTCATAAGGATGTTTGTTATAGTTAATCCGTTTGGAAGGTGGGTTGGCAATTGGCAGATTTATTATTATTATTATTATTAAATTGTTATCAGTTGTTCAGTTTTTCTCTGTCACTACGACATCCACGGAATGACATTATAGTTAGGTATTTAAAATATTCTATTTGGAAATTGGTTATTATAAAAAATACTTGCATTCTTGAATTTAAAACATCACCAATAGTAATAATATAGGTACTTCCTATTTTAACAATTTTACATACAATTATTATACATACATAAACACACGCCTGTCACCCAGAGGGGTAGGCAGAGACTACGAACTTCCATTTGGCACGATCCTGGCACACTTCTCTCGCCTCCTCCACATCCATATACTTGTCGCTTAAGGGTATTCTTAATTTGGCCCATTTTCAATATATCGTCAATTTGGTCTAAAAACTTTCGCCTAAGGCGTCTTTTCCCGATACTCGCGCTCACTTCTGCAACATAAATTTGCTTTGTCACTCTTACCTCATTCATTCTTCCTACATGACCAAACCACTTCTACAAAATATTTCTACATAACCGGTGGTGGTTTAACAATTATAGTTCCTAAAAATGATAAATTCTAACTTTGTGTCAGATAATTTTACACAAGTTTGTTAACAAAAAGTATAACATAGGGAGAGATATACTAACAGGTCATTTGCCGGCAGGTAAAGGGAGCGACAATACACTTTATGGTCTGTTGATTCCGACAGGTACCGGATTATGCACGCAACTATAGCACACACGAACGATAACGTGAACACAAAGAAAATGGTTTTATATGTGTGCGACATAACGTGCACTAGTGTGAGGGTGCATCGTTGTTTATAACGTGCTTTATAACATTCCTACGTATCGCATTGATGAAAGTTTTAAATATTTCGCCTGCATTTTGTTCGCAAAACTTTTCTCGTTTAAAATCATCTCAACTCGTGCTTCCTCTGTTCGTTTGTGCCCATTTTTTACATTCGTCCAGTAACTCAAACTGTATCTAGCAACTAGATATAATTTGACTTATTTAACTAGATTCTCGTTAATCTGAAACTGTAAATGCTCAACAATTTTTCGAAAATTGTCCATTATGAACGACTTTATATTCTGTACACATTGTTTCTCAGTATTATGTTTTGACAGAAAATTGTTTGCAAAACCGTGATATTATTATGTATGTGTGGGTGTGTAATATGTACAAAGAGATGTGTATAGATAGGGACACCTGTCTTGTGGGGCGTCTTGACGTTGTTTGGTTAATACAGCAATGTTTACAGGGGACATTTTGAAAACATCACATTACTGGTAGAGAGAGCCGTGGCAGCTCAGGGCTAAGCGCTCGCTGTAAATTTTACAGTACGCGAGCAATCCGGGTGCGATCCCCACCGGCACCAATGAAATTGTTAATTGCAATTTTAAGTGTTGATTTACCACGTGCTCGACGGTGAAGTAAAACGTCGTAAGGAAACCGGCATATATGAGAAATAAGAAAAAAAAAATCGAAGACGTGTGAAGTCCACCAGCACGCATTGGGGCAGCGCGGCGGACATTTCCTTGCCCTAAAACTCTCTCAGAAATGAGAGGAGGCCTGTGCCCAGCAGTAGGACGTATAAATAGGCTGTAACTTTAACATCACTGATGTAAAATACTGACTTAGTCTTGTATTGATAACATGTTCTTATAAGGAGTATTTCTTAACGTAGACTTTTTAATCGTTATTTCCAGAGACGAATATCTTCATATTTCACAGCTTGTTGTATGTTATTCGCATCCGTAGCAAACACGTTTTATATTTCTATTACGTTTATCAAATTTTAGTATGTTAGTTGAATTTACTGCGCTAGAAGTGTAAAGTACTAGAGTCAAGCCGATGATAAATTTTGATTTCCTTAGTTTATTTCGTACTAGCTGGCCCCCGCGACTTTGCCCGCGTGTTATTTGGAGTTTAATTTTTTATTGCGCGGTACCCTAATTCTTTTTCTAAAATAAAAGTTATCTAAATTATTCTTGGTAACATCAGCTATCTACCAGGGAAAATCCCATCTAAATCGGTCCAGCCGTTTCGGACATTAGCCAGAACAAACAGACAGGCAAAAACTTAAAAAAATATTTTTGTTATTAGTACTGTATATACTTTCATATGAATTTAGTAAAAAGCTGTATTTTTGACATTACAAACAGACACTTCAATTTTATTTATTTGTATAGATAATATTATGTAACGTAATTTTCATTTTCCTGAAATATAATCGAAATGTGATGACATTTTTAATTGAAGTAAGTATTGTTTATTTTCAGGATATCTTCTGGACTTAAGATACATGAAGAGGACGGAGTACCAGTCACCTCCGGTTGATGTTACCAGTAGGTATTCATTTAATATTATTTTTAAGTACGTTCTTTATTCTTATTTGGTCTGTTTATGCTTTATTTGAAATAAAATAAAAAATAAAATATTTGGAACTAATGTGTAAACTATATGTTTGTTTGCGAATTTTTAACATAGTTTTTTTTGTATTTCTGACAGTACTTACGTCGTGTATGTGTTAGTATTAATGTGATTTAAGGACTAACCTTACAACACGCAAACATAATGTTAACGCAAATTGGAGACTTGATTATAATTTGGTAATTATTTTTCTATTATATAAACTAACTTTTGTGATATTTTTCTGAATACTGTTACATTAATACGGAATAAGTTATTCTATATGAGAATCAAAAATCACAAGTTGGTCTCCTCGTATATTTGTCAATTGCTGTTGCTAGGTTATATTTAAATGGTTATTACGTGATAGAGCCACGCTGCACCTATATTATTCTTGTGGCACGAATGGGTTGGCTCGACCGGAGAAGGACCACTCTCTCACAGAATACCAGCGTAAAATAGCAACTTAAGCTCCTGTGTTTCGTATGGTGAGTGTAGAGAACCGCAGATCCCTTTTACTGGAAACGAAGCATTTCACCTTAGTCCTCAAGTGACAACGCATCTGCATTTGGATTCTTAATCAAGTATAAATGTGGATGTCTATGGGCCACAGCATCCAATTATCATCAGATGGACTGTGTGCTCGTTTGTACACTTATTCTAAAATTCTGCTGTTGCTATTAAATAAATATAAGAGATCGGTTAGATTTGAAAACAACTTGTAGTTACAATTTTGTTAAGTTTAACCAAATACATATGAATGTAATACTCTATTTACAAAACTTTATATTTCTGCTAACAATTTTGCTACAAAAAATATTTTATTAATAGCTGAGCGATATTTTTATCCGTCCAATTTCACTGCGCCGGGATAAATATTTAACAATATTGCGCTGAGCCCCATGGCAGGGTTGCAACACCGTGTAATACGCCGTTGGAAGTTACGTGGGCACCCCACCAAAATCGCTTCGAAATCTTTAATTTCTGTTTTATATTATAACGGACAGTTTTAAATTATTTTTATCTTACAATGTATACTTAAAAAAAATCACAGGTCTCTTCGCTGCTCCAGTGCATGTTTGCAGACTTCACATGTTCTCGAAATATTATTTCCTTCAGACACTCAGGTTTCCTCAGGATGTTTTCCTTCACCTCCGAGCATGTGGTACATCAGTACTTACATTAGCAGTTAAAACTCTATTACTGCTTGCGGGAACTTAGAACAAAAATATTAGAGATTTATGTTTCGATATCAAAACTGTCTTTTTTTCTATTTTTTAAACGTTACCCCCACACTAGGATTTTCCCCTGTATCGTGGAGGCAGTTTACAAACATAGCTCAAGGACAAACATCCAGACCCGTAACAACTATTTGTAGGCTATACCAAGGCAATTTGTAGACAATTCCGTGCGGGATTTGAACCCGCGGCTCTCAACGCTGCAACTCATTGCTAAGTCACTGCGCCACGAAGCCGTCCTAAGTGTTAGCTTAATTCAATACCTTCTGGAATAAACATTTATTTTTATATAAATTAAATTTATACTTTCTTTTATGCTATATTAAATATATAGGTTACATAATTTCTATATTTTCTATTACTTAAAAACTTAGCTAAGCGAAATCGGGATGCCACTATTCAACTTATGCAACTAATGTTTGATGTCCTGTTTTCATTCCCATGAGCTATGGCGTACATTTTTGTTGTGATATATTACTTAATAATAACGCTTTGTTATCGTGATTTGTGTAAATTTGGTGTAAAATTATGTACCATTTGATATGCCGGATGGAAATAAATTATCCAGAATGGCGACTCGGAGAGCGTCAAATATGCGATACATCAGATAGGTACAGCTTTGGTCGATCGAATCGAAACCCTGATCAGATATGCTGTTGGTATTTATGTTATGAGTGCTACCAACTGTTTATGCATTCCCTTAAAGCATTTTCAACAGGGATTACGTCGAAACATCAAATAACACGCCAACAATTCAAATTAGCGATCGTGTTCATTTCGCTACTACGAGTAGTTAATTAATATTGTGCTCCAGACTATATTATGGTGTAACTGCTGAAAATGCATTGTTTGTATTTACTTTCGTGAGCTGATTTTAACAAACTCAACAAGAATATGCTGTTTTTTTTTAAAACTCTTTTGTTTTTTATAAATATTATTGCTGCGATGCATTTATCATTATCAAATATTTATATTCTTTATTTAAATATACAGCAGTGAATTTTTGTTTTATAAAATGCGAAAGTGAAACCTTTGATTGTTTTACAAAGCCATGCGAGCCACGTGAACTTTTTTGACTGGCCTGTTGGTCTAGTGGTTAGTGACCCTGACTGCTACGCCGGAGGTCGTGGGTTCGATTCCCACCCAGGACAAATGTTTGTGTGATGAGCACGATCATTTGTTCTGTGTCTGGGTGTAATTTATCTATAATATGTATGTATTTAGAAATATATAAGTATGTTTATCAGTTATCTAGTACCCATAACACAAGCTCTGCTTAGCTTGGGACTAGATGGCGTTGTTTGATAGTTGTGGAATATTATTATTATTATTATTATTATTATTATAACATCTACATTTTCATAAGAGGATATTGTTGCTTGCACAATAATTTTAGATATTTTTATATGTATGCTTGGCGCGTTTTTATTTTATGTTATTGTTGATAAAATGAAATGTAACTTACGATTTTAATTTATAGAAGTGAAGGTGGCGAACGAGCATACCGCCTATCCGATGGTATGTGGATGCTGTGTCCAATTGGCATCTACATTTATCCTCGATTAAGAATCAAAATCTAAATGCACTGTCACTCCTGAGGACAAAGTGTAATACCTCGTTACCAGTAAAAAGGGTCTCCGGTTATCTTCACTTACCAGGCGCTACTTTTTACGCTTGTATTCTGTAAGTTCCTTCATGTAAAGCCATCCGTTCTGCAGTCATGATACAGCTGTAGCGTGGATTTAAAACGATATTACTGTTGAAACATTTGATAAACATGTAAACAGAGTGTATCCTTACTGTTATGTGATTGTAAAGGTGCGCAGCGTCAAGCCCAAACTGCTCTGATTGTCAGTGGCGTAGCACTTGCGATCCTGGTGCTGGTCTTGATTATCGTATGCAGAGGGAGGTTCTCCTGGAGATACATTAAACAGAAGTTTCAGCCATCAAAGGTATTATACAACATAAAGTACAGATGATATCTTAACTCTTATTTCTGAATTTAGAGCAATTAAGAATGTGAAGTAGGTCTTGTAGTGGCGGTGTAATAATATCTATTACGCTATATTAGCCCGTGGGTGTGGTAAGAGGCGACAGAGGCACATTGAAATAGAAAATAGGCAGCAGCGACTTCTTCATAACAACTCAAAATAATAAAATACCGTGGTTGACAACCCGCCTTCCAAACATGGCAACTACGGCAAACTCCCTCTGTGAGTCAAACTATAGGGGAGGGCTATGTTCAGCAATGGACTTTTATAGGCTTGGGCCGGCCGGCCGCAAAAATATTTTGGCCGCAAAATTTCGAACGGAAAATTACCGTACGTGTGTGACAGGTCATAGATTTTATATGGACTTGCCGCGTTTGGAACTCCGACCGGCCTAAGGCCCGCCACATACATACGGAATTCCGTTTCGGGATTCCGTTTCGGAATCCTGAATCGGGATTCCGTGAATACACCACACACATACGTTTATTTCCGTTCGGAGTAACAAGGCTCAGTTGAGAGATGTTAGCCATTGAATCTAGACATTCTGATAGCGAATAATGACTATTTTCTGATTGAAGTTACATTGTTGCTGTATCATTCTTACTAGGTGCATTCCCTTATCACCCTAAGCTTGCAATGTAGTCAATATATTGTAAAAAGAACTATCTATCCAGAGATATTTTTTTAATATGGACGTCTGTAAACTCTTTCGACGAATTATTAAATGAAATAGTATGAAAGGTTACGAAAAGCAAACAACAAAGGTTACAAAGAAACAGGATTATTTTCAGTTTTTTTTATTAACTAACTATACTCGATTTATGTATCCTCGATTTGGGTTGAATAAAGACTAATGTACGTGAGGGTAATATCGTCACCTTAGCTTTGCCACCCTATAAAACCAAACTAGGATGGGGACAGAGACAAAAACAAAAAGTCGTTTACTATTACTAATATATTAAGGAAAAAATAGCAAACAAGCTTTGTCAATAATTACGAACACTTCGAAAAATCAACTTATAAAAACTAACTACACTACACAATACTGAAATCGACTAAAATTTTTACTATATTTTCAACTGACAAAATGGCGTCGATAAAGCGGAGCCCTTTTAACCCTTTATTATTTGATTGATTGATAAAGAGCTATCGTATCACAGAGCCATCTATGCAAACCAGGCTGTAGTTTTTGACTTTTAACAAAGTGACCATATTAACCTGATGACCATATTACTACCCTCACATACTATTTCATAAAATCATAAGAGGAAGCTAAAAACGGCTTTCTTCCATCCATTCATTAGTTAAGGCCGGCCACATACATACGGAATTCCGTTTCGCGAGACCATGGGAATCTGAACGTCGCACCTGAAACGTTGGAAATTAAAAGTTAAATTAAACGCGATACAAGTGGTAAAATTAAAATAAAATATTGATGTCCAACCGACTTCAATATAAAATATTGAAGTCGGTTTCAATATAAAATACTGAAGTCGGCTCCAATATAAAATATTGAAGTCGGCTTCAACATAAAATATTGAAGTCGGTTTCAATATAAAATATTGAAGTCGGCTCCAATATAAAATATTGAAGTCGGCTTCAATATAAAATATTGAAGTCGGTTGTACATCAATATTTTATTTTCAAATTATCAATATTTTATTTTAAAATCACTCAAAAACTACTGGTCAGGACCTTGATCAAATTTATACGGGACCACATGAGAAGCACCAGCTTTCAAATAAAATAAAGAATAATCGAAATCGGTTCACCGAGAAAAAGTTAGGAGGTCCTTTTTGAAGTCAATCCGTAAAATTAGTTTAATTTTATAAAAAAAATCTTGTAGCATTGGGAAGATTTTGACGGTATCTGCTTACGTGGTTTCCTAATTTGTGAAATATTCATCTTAATTGTATACGTCGGTCCGGAGTGCATCAACAAATCAAATACTGAATGTGAATTATTATTATTATTATTATGATAGGTGTCATAATAGAATCGCATGGAGCTAATTAATTCATTATCTTTAAGTTTATGAATTAAAATTTATATGCAACGATACATATTGCATTTTCTGATTTCAGAATAGGGTTAAACAGTACCCTACTGACCTTACCCATCATAACCCTCATGCGGAGTTACCGAAACCGAAACACGAGCTCAAACTTGAAATACGAAATCCTGAACCACCGAAACGTAACCCCCAGCCCCTCAATGTAAGAGATCTTGAAACCAGAACTTCACAAACGGAAAAGAGCCAAGGTGCAACTACACCCAAGACCATGAGCACCGCTTTGAGTAACCGACATCCAGCAGAAGATACTACGCTTGACTTTTCTTACGACAATATTGGAATGAACGTAACCCCCCCTGAACAACCAGCTGCTAGTCACAAATTCTGAGATTCGGCCGTTACCTTCGGCGAAACCGTCGAATATGTGAGGATCGACTCCAAATAAAACAGAATTTTTCGGACCCATTCATTGTTTGATACTATCAACTTTAGTGAGGAATAAAATTATATGCAACATCAAAAAGGTTTCATGCTGCATATTGCTTACGGGATGTCACAGAGATATTGTGTAATGTACTCTGTTAAACTATTTAGTTCGCTTACTGTTCAACGCCTGTTCCTGTGACTGAATAACATTGGTATTTTCTATGTAAAATTACTATAGGCAAGTGTTGTCAAAGTTTGCACATAGTTTTGAAATAAACAACGGATCCGAGATCAAGTATTTCGATTAAGTAATGCGTACTAATTTTAGAGAGACAAAATCGATTTTGAAATTTCATTCAATTGAAGATTGGATTTTAATTGTAATTTTTTATATATGTGTTATATCGTAATTTGAATTATATCGTGTTATAATACGTATGGTCGAAGCAAACAAGTACTTTGTGATCGTTGTTATGATATATACTTAAACGAGATTAGAGTTGAACTTTAATAATCTACATTTTAGCGTGTAATTTATAGGATATCAATTATATATACATTGTATAGATAGTTGTAGTTTAAGGTAAATTATGATGTACTTACTTAATTATTGTATAAATGATTTATAAAGTTTCATTTTTAAATAACTAAATACACAAAAAATAATTACAATCATTATGTTTCATCTTCTTTAAATAAGGTTAAAATCACTATAGTAATTTAAATTTTTTATTCAATTATTTTTAATAAAAAATTTAAATTTAATTGATTATCCATCACAAGTTTTATAAGTATTATATCTACATTATTGTTGGTAATGTTTTTTAAAATGATAAGTCAAATTATATAATACGGTGTATATTTTATAATAAGGTACATGTATTGTGTATTTATTTCTTACTGTCCCACGGACATCACATTGTAAATTTATTTCCAAATGCATTACTTGAAAGAATTGCACATACAACGGGCTCACCAGTCCACCAGGGGTTGATGACCATTGAACAAATACCTTTAAAACGGTAAAAATGCCTCCCACTAAAAGTCTGTGAAATTTGTGTTTAGCGTTCTAGAATTGAATTTCCCGCTATCGTGCTTCACCGCATCCTCGTTAGCCGATCAGCATGTGCCGTTTTCAAGTTTGTCATATTTTTATATACTCTTCATTTTTCACAGCACTTTATTCGAGCTTAAAAGTAATAGAAAATAAAAAAGGATTCTTTTTAGACTTTAGAAAATCTTAAATCATCTAGTAAAAATGACACGCGGGAGAGTTTATTGACTGGAAGAGCTTTTGATGTGTTTGCACCATATTTGTTTTTGTAATGAAAACCCTGGTCAATGGATAACATTCATAATCATTTATTTCAAAGGGTATTTTATGTCTACCTACTATTACTGATTTAGTCTCCTTATATTAGATAGAGTGACGCCTAGTAAGTCGATAGATGCATGTGAATCCTGAAATTTTCAAAATAAATGTGCCTCTGTTTTTCCTAAGTACTAATACTTAGATTATTGTGATACTTAAAAAACAATAGAGCATCAGAAGCTATTATCGGTATTAAAATGTTATGCAACATTTAATTAGAAAGTATTTTTAATACTGGTTTGCAATTTTACTTTTCTTACATGGCTAATTAGAATTTAAGAATGTTATTCCAGTCAAAATGAAGTTCGAAATATAAATGACTTCCTTTCCACGAAATTCTCATAAACTATCAAAAAGTATCTTAGTGTACCATTACTTAATGTCTTAACCTCTCTTTCAAACTAAATTAATTACTGTACTTATTAAATTAAAAAAAAATCTAATAATTGTTATTCTGACTTTTATAATTAAATTATATTTGAATGTGGCCGGATATACCTTCGGTTGTGATTTGTTTACGGCGTCGAATCAATATCAAATTAATAATATTTTGATATTCTTTTCAGGCTTTGTTCACCGTCTATTACTGCAAGTTACTTAAAAACGTGCTTAGTCCGTTACTTAAAAAGTAAAAACTAATTGTTAGTTTAAATAAATCATTACGCTATGTTGGAACGGCCTTTGTCCAGCAAAGGCTCATTCGACGTATTTATATGTCTCCTATTGTATCTATTATGTAACTTAAATCAAAATTATCATGAAATGTTGTAAGTTACTAACTGATATGAATACGCATATTTTTAGCAGTAAATTTGCCAATCTATGTTTCATTATAACGTAAGATCGTAATATTTACAGATCTATATATAACCAGAATTAATGACGTTCTGCGAACGGTGTAATGCGAATGAATAAGACTGCACTCACAGTGAATAAAACAATTTACATAATATGTTAAGTGATTTGCGTATTTGGGCTTACAGGTGAACTCATGGTAAATATGTAAGAAACATCGAATGATAAGGTTGCGTTTAACAACAAGAATATATGTGTCTCAAATTGAATATTAATGTAGGAATATCTGTTAGAATAGAGCACACTTTGTGTTCCAGAAAGTCTTGTGTTAGAGTTTCTATGAAATATTTAACTAAACATGATAATGAGCATATAACGTGCTTGAACTCGTGGAAATCGAGGTTTTGGTGACCAATGTACTTGACCTAAATTCAAATCCTTGTTGGATATTTGAAGAATGCCTTTTCAAGAAGGATGTCAAATGACCTTCCAAACTTGAAAGACATTATGTTCATACTTAGCACGCTGGGACTTGAGCACAGAGTCCATACCCTGGTACTGGTAATGTTGCTCACTATCTCTATTGGTAGAGTAGTGAAATGGATTTTATGTATTAAACTGAAGTGATGAACAACAAATGGTACAACCGACTTCAATATAAATAAAATGAGAACATCATCATAACGAAATGATAAATCCAAAATTACTGGTCAGATCTTGATCAAATTTATATGGGACCACATGAAAAGCACCAGTTTTCAAATAAAAAAAACAATCACCAAAATCAGTTCACATAGAAAAAAGTTAAGAGGTAGGTAGCACACATAAAAAAATTACAGTTGAATTCAGTACCTCCTCCTTTTTTGAAGCCTGTTAAAAGACGAAGTTTCAATCCACTTTATTGTTAGTGGCCGCTGCAGTCTATAGACTACTGCAAACAACTTTAAATAAATAAGACCACAAATGCATTGTGAATGGTACCTCACAATGCACAGGGCATTAGTATTTGTTTATACTTTCATTTGTCGATCGCCATAATCTTACGTTATTGACTTGTAGAGAAGTTGTGACTTATCTTCAACAGACTAATGGCGGAAATTTATCATAGAATACTAAACTTGAATCCAACAACGAAAGCTAAATATATAAAATCCAAAAAACGCAGCATGTAGTATATTTGAAAATATTAAGAGAATGACATTATATTTGACTAAAACTTATTCTCTGCTAAAACTTTAGATTAAAACATGGTCAAAGATTGGAAAAATATTGTTTAGGTAATTAAAGTTTAACTTTTGGTGTAACTATTGTAACTCATGAAAATACTTCACATTAATATAAATTATAATTTTTATGAATGAATGTTAAAGGTATAAATAAAAATGGCACGTATTATTTGTTAGTATTACACACTTATGATAAAATATGTTAGTTAAACTTTATTATATACAAATATATATTATATTTTAGGGTAGTTGTCAATAATGACTTATTAAGAAAGATACTTAAGTAATTAAAGTGATTGGTTATGTAATTTTATTACAAATAGAAAATGAAATGACGCACAGGTCATTGTTATTCAATTTACTTAGAAATATTAAATTACGCATATCAGTTTAGTGAGGTTGTTGAGATTATCATGTTTTCGAATAATAATAGCTCAGGGCGATTGTGTGTCCGTCCATTTCCCGTTTTATACACGTTATTGTGTTTTATTGAGCTCCAGTTTGACTAAATAAATATTTCGGTAATGCTGAGAGAATTTTTCATTTTATATAAACAATTGTTGTTCGTTATGTTACGCTTCTGTCTGTTTCACGCTGCATGTTATTATTCCTCAAACGCTGAAAGAATCAAAGATGTAAATATTTTAACAATAACCAATTGTTAAAATAATAACAAAAATAAAAACAAAAACTTAAAATATTATTAAGACCTTGCTTATAATCGGTGATTATCGCTTAGGTACTTAAATTATGTATTAATTATCTCTATTTATTATACTTCTTTATTTTGTCATTTAGTAAAGAGAGAGAGAGAGAGAGAGAGAGAGAGAGAGAGGGAGAGAGACCTTTTATGTTTTTTAAATTCACGTCCATTTTTATGGGTAAGGTACTTAATGGTAATCTAAATGAGACTTATGCTTAATTCTTATGAAGTAAGTAGAAGTTTATATTATTGTCTTTCTGTCTAATAACTTAATAGAGACTCATGCTTACACTATTTTTTGTAATTCTTGTGGAAATAGCATGTAGTGTGTTAAAAAGTACTGCCTCAGTTGCAATGTATTGTAAAACTGAGTTCCTTGTTAACTTTTTTAATACGTTATTTGATAGAAATATTAGTTAAGATTAACAATATGTTGTGGTAATGTGGGTATCGTTGTTTATGTTTTTGCCCTTGTTCAGTGTTTGTCTTGTGTGTAGAGTATTTTATTGCAGTATTCTTTTATATTCATAGTTATGAACGTTAAAGTTGAATCTCTTTGGGCGTTTGTAGATGTAAGCAAACTGCGCTATGGAATGTGCGTTTTTTTATTTGTAACCATCATCGAAAATTTATTTTGACTGCCTAATATTTGTTCCCATAGATATACCTATGTTTAAAAAAATAACGCTAGTAGTGAATTAACGATATTGACAGCAAAGGCCATTCATTTGAAACGAATAAACTCATTCCGCTAATGGGCGTTGTAAACGGATCGACATTACATTTGAGCGTACACAAAGTGCTGGTTTCTTTTGAAGAGCTCGGTGCCATGGGCGTATTGTTGCATCACACTGGTATATAATCAC